GGCTGGTAGTGAAACGGTGGAAGCCTTCAGTTTTGATCTCAAAACTGATGAGGTACACGGAATGTCCTTTAAGAAAACGACCATTTGTAACTGTACATAGTCTGCGGGCTGGCTGTTGTGCTGTATGCTTTTATGCATGCTCTTCTGTAATTCGTATTCATAACATTTTTGGCTCAAGTGAGCACGGCAGTGTGTCGTTGGTAGCTTCTCGTTGCCGCGACGCAATTGCGCGCAGCCCGTCCTGGGCGGACGTTCGACCTGTCACGGTCGTTGGACTTTCTGCTTGGACGGAAAACGAGGGTGCGTGCTGCCCCTTTGGGTTTCCGTTCTCCACAATTGGGGGCTGTTCTGGGAAACGGCCACCCAGGCGGCTGCTGCGCCGCAATCTTTTAACGTGGCCTCGAAGGCGCGCTTGTCGTGCGCCTTGAGGCCGTGGTCCTGTGTGGCACGGGGCTCTCTCCTTCGCTAGGCGACCATGAGCGCTGAGGTCGCAGGTCAGCCGGAAGGAGCCACGTTGCTGAGGTGCATCGAGGATGGGTCAGTGGAGTACCCGGAGAAGATGCCCTTTATGTACTGGCTCCGTTGGCGTAAGGAAACGGGGTCCCGTCCCACCAAGAAGAAGGACGGACGATCCACGACGCTAGCAGATGAACAGCGTCTGTGGAAGGAGACGATGGAATTCCTCTACGACAACTTCGATGCCGAAGAGGAAGAGGAAGAAGATGAAGAGGAAGATGAGGAAGCTCCAGCTGCGGAAGCGGGCCCGGGTGCTCAGGATGGCGATCCGGGCCCCAGCTCTGAAGAGCTTCTGCCGGAGGCCGGGGTACCGGCTCCGCGTCCTGCCGCTGCGCCGGCGGACGTGGCCGAGACGGCGCGCCGTGTTGGTGCGCTTGCTCTCTCGCCGGTGGCCGGCGGCCCGGCCCGTTCCGGGCCTCCCTCGTCTGCTGGGACGGGTGGTCCCGTCACGGCGGAGACCCTGCAGGCGGACCTGCGGGAGCTCTACCGTCCCGACCAGGAACCGGTCGCGGATTACCTGACGCGGGTTTCAAGGCTGGTTGTGGCCTTGAAGGCGCACCAGGCAGAGGTCACGGTGGAGGATCTTGAGAAGATCACTACCAAGGCCACCATCCTTGCCGAGGAATACGGCAAAATGGGAGGTGACTGGCACCCTGCCAGGATGGTGCGGGCCCTGCGCACCAGGTTTACCGTTGCCGCGGTTTCTCTTGGGTCGGAAGACCGAGAGGAGGTCGAGAAGGAGATCTCGTGCCTCGGCGAGCTGATCTTGGCCCTGGGAGGCAAGAGCAGCGGCGATCCCGAGAAGGTTTGGAGCACTCCTTCTTCTGTCCCGGCCCTGGCGGCCCGGACGGGCGCCGTTGCGGAGTCGGGCTCTAAGTCCGGAGCACCGGCGCCTCTCCCGGTGGACCTTCAGCTCGCGATCCCTGAGGATCCGCAACCTGGTCCGGGGGACTCACCCCTGAAGTCCCGCCTTGCGGCTCTGGAGATAGAGCTCGAAGGGCTTAAGAAGGATAAGCCCGGCGAGCCTCACTCCGCCAGCGGCGGAGCCGGAGAGCTCGCTGCAGCTTTGGCGGCCCAGACCGAGGCGCTCAAGGAGGCCTTGGCGTCTCGCGGAGGTCAGACGTCGATCACGACCGTGAAGACGGACCTCCAATGGCCCTCGCTCACCGACGATCGCTCCGACATCCGGGACGTGGTCCAGTTCTACGAAGAGTTCGAGGACGTCTGTGGCCTTGCCAACAACTGCAAGGGGATGAATTTCCGGGAGAAACTCATCGCCCTTCGTGCTCGCTGCCGCGGCTCGAGGCTTAAGACCTTTACTAACGTGTACAAGGCTGCCTCCAAGACCGGGGAAGTTACTGAGAATCCCCAAGCCGTTTACGAAAGGATCAAGCAGCGGCACCTTGTCTTCGGCGAGAGCCGAGAAGAGAAGGAGATGAGGGTGGACGCGGAGCACGTCGCCCTCACTAAGGGCCGTCTCACAGGGCACCAGTTCGAGCCCCTGTTTGAGGCCTCCATCGCGGAGCTGGAGAGTGTGGGTCTTGGCAAGACAGCGAGGGAGCTCTTCCTAAGCTACTTGCGCAAGATGCCTCCACATCTCCAGAAGGAGATCCGCGGTGATAAGCGGTTGTGGCCTAGCGACGGCGCATCCGCAGGGCTTCGAGGCCCTTCGACCTGGGAAGAAGCGCATAAGGTCGTCCTCGAATATGAGCAGCGTGAGGCTGCGCATCGGGTGACGGCTAATAGCGTGTACGCAGGTTCGACGGAAGACCCAGCCCTGTCCGCCGCGCGGAAGGAGGTCGAGAAGCTGAGGACGGAGCTCAAGGCTTCTAAGGCCGCGGCCAAGGCGGCCGCCTCTTCCACGCTTGCCGCTGGTCCGAAAGGAAATGGAAAAGGTAAGCCTATCTGTTTCCATTTCCGCGACCACGGGAACTGCCCAAAAGGGGACGCGTGCCCTTACTCGCACGACAAGGAGCTCCGCAAAAAGGCCCTCGCGGCCAAGAAGGAGCGGGACGCGTCCACCCTGGCGACAACGCCGGGGAAGGGCAAGGGCAAGGGCAAGGGTGGACCCGGAGGGCAGCCCAAAGGCAAGGCCAAGGCCAAGCCCAAGGCGAAGTCCAAGGCGGGCGCGAAGCCGCCAGGGACTATCTGCCCTTTCTTCAAGAAGAACGGGTCGTGCCGTAAGGGAGCGGACTGTGACATGGTCCATTCGCTTCCCGCCACTGGGGGAGCCGCGTTGCCTTCGAACTGGGCGGCCCCGAGTGGCGCCGGGATGGTGAATCCCTTCGCTACGCTCTCCATCCAGATTGGGAGCGCTGGCACGGTTGTTGCGGCGAACTCCTCCGCTTTCCCGCTTGCCAAGAGCTCGTCGTCGAAGTTCAGCTCGTTGGACGAGCTGCCTCAGGACTGGTGGCACCTCTGCGAGAACGAGGTCGGGGGGTACCAGTACAGAACAGTCGTGCAGGTCATCGACGGCATGGTGGAATGCATGCTGGACGGGTGTGCAGGCTCGAACCACATCACGGAGGAACTCCTCTGTGGGATCCTCAACCGGGCTGCTGCCTTGGGGATCGGCACGGAGGACCGGAGGTTTCCTGTCGTGAAGTTCGAACGCTGGGTGCATCCGGAGTTCGTCCATGGGATCGCTGCAGGGAAGCCGGTGCCCCTGAAGGGGGCCGTCGTGCTGAGAGTCCGCTTTCTGGAGGGGCTCTCCCCCGACAACTGCAGCGAGGGTCCAGAGATATTCGTGCGCTGTAAAATAGCCGCGAAAGGAACCTCGGATTGGCATGGGCTCATCCTTGGCGGCCGCGCCTTGGATTGCTCGGGACGGCAGGGCTTGGGCTTCAAGCCCCTTCCTGACTGCCACTCCCTGGAAACCCTTGGGATTAAGATCCCCAGGTGCGAAGACTACAGTAGGTCGCGGAAGGACCGCGCCTACGCCTTCGAGTCCAGGCTTTCTAGTCTCGACGGTGCTCTGTGCTTTGAGCCGGGTACCGGAGGCAGGGACCTGCTCCGGTACAGCGGGGAGAACCCGCTGGAGCTCTTGGCCGGAGATGGGGTCATCGCACCTGTGAAGAGGGAAGGCAGTGGAGGCCAGGATGGCTCCCTTACGGAGGCTGTCCTCCCGGTAGAGTCCGCCAACTGCGAAGCAGTGCCTGGGCTGTGGCCCACAGGAGCCGAGGAAGGTTCGATCTTGCTGGTAGCCGAAGAGGACACGACTGTCTCTCCGGGTGCCGTCGTCGGCGAGGTCCGGACCGGGCTCGCGCAGACCACCGCGTGTGAATGCGGAGGGGTTGAGACCCTCTTTACGGACGCGAGTGGTGACCCGTGTGGGAACTGCGGATTAGGCACTGCCGAAGACTCGACCTTCCCTGGATGCTTTGCGTGCGGGTCCACCGAGAGGACCGCCGTCTGTGGCCTGCAAGGCTGCGGCGCATGCTCGCACAGCAGGGGTTGGCGTAAGGGCCTGAGGGTTGGGGCGGTTTTCGCCCTTGCCGCCGTAAGCACGGTCCTAGGAGGGCCTTGGGCCACGGAGTCCGTGGTTACGGATCCGGATGCCGTGTCCTTCCTCTCCTCCATCCCCACTGAGGGCCAGTGGTGGCAGACGAAGGGAGGAATGGCTGGCCTTTGGAGCGGCAGGCCCCAGGAAGGTGACCCGGAGAATCGGCCGGATGTCGAAAGGCTTCCGTACGAGACTTGCCTCTTGAAGTCTTCTGGCGGCCCGTGGCGGTTGTGGCAGACTAGGGACCTCAGGCTTTGGCCCGAGTCTGTCGACTGGTCGACCGTGCCCGTCACGTCCGATCTCGCGGTCTTCAGGACGAAGACGGGGCCGCGTTGGGCAGGATGGGATGCGGGTTCCGCTACGAGGGGGCTTGGAGGAAGCCACGGCCGAGACGTCACTAGTGGTTCCAGAGTGGACACTAGGAACGAGCCGGTGTACCACATAGTGGAATCGGCCGACATTGAGAAGATGATCGAGGAACCTCCCTCCGACTACTACTACGACAAGCTGCGGGAGGATATGGGTGCGAGGCACAAGGGTGCTTGCCCGCACCTTCTCGATCACCTGGTCTCTTTGGAAGCTTTCCTCGACAAGAGCATCCTCTTTGGGTTCTCCTTTGGTGTCGCCAAGGCTGAGATCTGTGTGTCAGAGGGTAAGCTCCTCGGGCACCGGATCGGGCGGCACGGGAGTGCGCCCGACGAGGAGCGATGCCAAGCGGTCGTGGATTTCCCGCCGCTTAAGGAAAAGCTCCACATCCAGCAATTCCTTGGGTGTGCGAACTGGCTTCGGGGCTATCTGCCAGCGGAATATGGCCATGCTGCTAAGGTTTTGGGCCAATGGCAGAAACCGGGAGCGGAGTTTCCGGAAGGTGGCCTGGGGACAGGCACCACTGCCGGCTGCAAGGCTTTCAAGGCCATCAAGAAGATGATGAGCCACCATATCAGCCTGGCGGCCTTCGATGAGGCGTCGGCTGCTGATGGCT